CCTCTCACACGATAGCCATTTTTCCTTCCTTCCTCTATTTATTCAGCCACCCCCAATTTCCAGAAATAGTCCAGAGGAGGAGACTTTACATCCTTTTTTCTTACTGTGATACCTGAAGGGCCTTTTGTGATTATCAATTCAGAAGCTGCAGAAGCAGCATGTTGTGTGTGTTTTTGGGGGGCTTTATTTGGGAGAAATGTTGGAAGTTTTCCTAGCTTCTATTCTCAATCTGTGCAAGTGTTTGCGTGTTTTGTGTAGTGCCCCATTTCCACTTAACAAGAAACATCTCCTCATTCTTCAGTTTGCACGTGTTTCACATCTCTATGAAGAAAAACAAAAGCTTTTTTGTCACAGAGGGAGAATATGTCTGTGGGTCGATGAAGGGGTTTTTGATTGAGCAACGATAGCTGGGTGACAAATTGCCTCATCCTATTCTTTCCCACAGTCATGTGGCAGGTTTGGTAATGGATGCGAAACCTGTTGACCGAGTTCACCTGTCTTCACACGTCTTGTAATGACTTGCATCACTTCTCTTCTTTGACTTTTGCTTTTCAGCATCATTTTCCCATAAACTGCCTGTCATCGCCTCTTATTTATGTCCGCTTTGATAGTTTGAAGCCATCTTATTGTGGAAGTGCACACCAGAAACCAGTTGTCATTATTATGACGGAACAAAGACGGGGACGACGGTTAACTCTACATCAGTTTGTGGGACTTTATTGTGATCGTGAACCTATGCCTGTGGAATGAAGCATAGTCTGCTTTTCAATTTAAAAGAGACACTTTTTGTATTTTACAATCCATGAAAACAAACCTGTTTTGTGTCTAACACTACTCCACTTTTCATACTGACAGGTGCACAGCACGGCCTGTGAGTCATAATTGGTATTATGCTCCTCTCTGCGACAACACGTCAGCATATTCACACTACACATCTTGTTTGTGAGAGAACACAGCCAGGGGGATAAAACTTGAATATAGCACTACTTTCTCTTCTGGCAATCATATTACTTTACCCCCCCCCCTCCTTTATTTCCCCCTACTTTTTCTTTTTCTAATGTTTCAGATTTAAATTGTTGACTTGGTTTCCAGCTTTTACATTTTCTTTGCTGCAGTGCCACCCTGTGGAGGTTTGAAGTATTTTCCAATGACTAGCAGCCTGTTAAAATGGGCTGTGTGTGTGTGTGTGTGTGTGTGTGTGTGTGTGTGTGTGTGTGTGTGTGTGTGTGTGTGTGTGTGTGTGTGTGTTAAGGGAGCATGATGGGCAAGTAACCTTTAGCTGTATATTTATTGTATGCCAACGTTTATGTTCCTTTGCTTTCCCCATCTGCATGGCTTTAATTTGCTTATACTTTATACATATATATATATATGCACATCCTTCACCTGAGTGATGTGATTGGGTGATTTGCAATGAACAAAGTTTTTCTTTTTTTTTCCAAGTTACAGTTCAAAAATGGCTGTCTTTTCTTTTGTAACTGGATGGGGTTTTTTTGGTTTTTTTACACTATTTGAACTCAGTATGATCTGTTATGCATATTGCTGACATATAGAAGTGAATGTTTTTCCTACAGTAATAACAGACCTAATCCTCCTTATTTTTAACACTACATTGGTTGTCTGTCTTGTATTCCTGTTCAGAAAACACAAATACATTTTTTTGCAAATAAAATATTGTTTGTTTTATTTGTTGTTGTATTACTATATTAGTCGTGTTTATACAAAAAAAACTTTATTCATATTTTTATTTAAAAAAAAAAGTGTGGCTAAAACATTTTGGTAAGAGGATCGTTCGGACAAGCCGAGCGCTTCCGGAAACTCCCGAGCTGTGACGCCGAGCAGCAGCCGTAGCGACGGAGTTTAGACAAGCGGAGGGAGCAAAATGGCGGACGAAGATATTACGCTTGATGGAAAACCTCTTCAGTCGCTCCGAGTTGCCGATTTGAAAGCGGCTCTGGAGCAAAGAAACCTCCCAAAAAGCGGACAAAAGAACACACTTATCAAGCGACTCAAAGGGGTAAGTTTTCTCTCACGTTACGGACGTCTGTGCCGAGTCTGGCCAAGTTCAGCAGGAGGCGAGAGACAGTGGGGGGGTTAACAGTAGAGGCCGTAACGATGTGTGTATGTGTGTGGGCTGTGAAGCGGGAATACATAAATCGCCGTGCACGCGTTATTACTCATAAACAACAGTTTTCCTCTTCGACTGGTTGTAACTGACAGTTTAACCCGACGGCCCGGCTACCGAGTTCGGACTTAATTCGTAACTACTCGCAGAGCACCGTGTTGCACACAGTTGAACTGTGCACCTGTCAAGTCCAGGCCTAAGCTGAGAGTAAGCAAGCCAACAGCCGCACATAGTGTACATGACAGTGCCCGCGCGCGCACCGTGCTTGCGTGTGCGTGCGTGTGTGTATTAGGGTTACGGGGGGCGCGCCTCGTGATGTAAACACATTCCGCGCATAACCAACAGCTATTTCATTCAAATTTTCTTCAACTTATATTTTTGTAAACGCCGTTTTCACTGTTAAAAACCGGGATCATCTCCTTCGCTAAAGTCACATTTAAAAAATATGTTACCAATTGATTGGTCTTTTTTTAAATAATACGTTGCTTTATGTATTTATTTTAATCATAAGATTATAGTGAAGCAACACCTCTTGATTGCGATATAAACTCCCCATATCTGACTCAAACCGTGCGTTAACGGCACAGTATTAAAATAAACTGATATCAGCATGCATACAGTAAAAAATACGGTGCTGATAAGATTAAAGCAATAGAGTTGCTCTTAAAGTCTCTTTAAGGCTTTGTTGATGGAGAATAATTTTATTGTGATTTACCTATATTCAAATTATTATTCAAAACAAGGATGTGTAGGATGCCTAAAGTTTTTTTTATGTGCCTTTCTTGTCAAAGAATTTAATACACACTCACTAGCTACTTTATCAGGTACACCTTACTAGCACCCTGTTGAGCCCCACACGCCAGATGGGGTTTCAACAGGGTGAATGAATGTGTTTATATGAAGCGCTTCAGTCAGGATTCAGAGTTTATCTTTGCACAGAAAAAGCACTGATGGAAAGTGTCTTCTCTTTACTTCGAACAAACATCTTGGATCTTTTAGGATTTAGGCAATAGAGAATGTATAAAGAGAGACTCATGCATGCTTCATTAGTTAGACAGCGCTAGTACTGGGTTGGGCTTCATTTTTGAATTTCTTGATTCTTCTTGCCAAAGATTCAACAAGGTGCTGGAAACATTACTCTGGGATTTTGGTCTATATTGACAAGATAAGTTCACACAGTTGCTGCATATTTGTCTGCTGCACATCCATAATGGCAATCTCCCATTTCACAAAATCCCAGAGTTATTCTATTGGATTGAGATGTGGTGAGAGTGTAGGTCATTTTAAGTACAGTACACTCAGTGTCATTTTCAAGAAACCGGATTGAGATGATTTGACCTTTTGGACACGGTGTGTTATCCCTGTGGAAGCAGCCATCACACAATGGCTAAACAGCGGTCATAAAGGGATGGACACGAGCAGTGAAAATATTCAGGTAGGCTATAGTGTTTAAACAATGGTCAGCTGGTAATAAAAAGCCCAAAGTGTGTCACAAAATATCCTGCACACCATTACACCTCCACCACCAGTCGAAAACATTGTTACAAGCCAGGATGGATCCATGCTTTCACGTTGTTTACAGCAAATTCTGACCCTACCTTGCATATAATGGAACAGAAAGCAAGTCCAATAAGACCAGGAAACATTTTTCTGGTCATCTATTGTGTAAGACATGTGAATTGTAGCCTCAGTTTCCTGTTCTTAGCTAACAGGAGTGACACCTGGTGTGGTCTTCTGTTGCTGTAGTCCATCTGCTTCAAAGTTAGATATATTGTGCATTTAAGATGCTCTTCTACATACCTCAATTGTAACAAGTGGTTATTTGAGGGAATCATTGGCTTCCTGTCAGCTTGAAGCACCGTTCTGACCTCTGCTGTCGAGGCATTGCTGCTGCTTACGGGATATTTTGCCTTTTCCACACCGTTCTCTGTAAACCTTAGAGATGATTGTGTGGGAAAATCTGGCTTGAACAACCATGCTACGTTCAAAATCGCTTAAATTGCCATTCTTTCCCATTTGATGTTCAGTTTAAACTTCAGCAAGTTGTCTTTATCATATCTGCAAGCCTAAATGCTCTGAGTTGTGATTGGCTGATTAGATGTTTGTGACAATGAGTAATTAAACAGGTGTACCTAATAAAGTGGCTCAGGAGAGACGATGCTTTTTAGTCATAAATTTATTGCATGTGATTAATAGACTATTAAGTTAATATACATGCATTTATGTTAATTCTTTTTACAATTCTTAAAGTGCCCTTTTTTATTAAGTATCTTACATTGTAGGCACATTTAGTATTATTATTGGGTTTAGGTCTGCCTTTTTAATGTTGTGCACAAAATGCAAACCTATATGCGATATTTAAATATGCAAAAAGTCAACAGGTATAACAAGCGTTATAATTAGAGGACTCAGAATTCTAGTATCTGGTTTACAGTTTTCTTTAATATTCATTCTGGCATTACGTTAACATTTAAATGAATTCCCCTCCTCCTTACCTTCAGGCTCTGATGCTGGAGAACCTACAGAAGACATCGTCCTCTCACAGTGGGCTGCAGCCCAACTCTCAGGTAGGAGATTTTAAAATCTGCGGTAGTCTGGTGATGTTTTGACACAATGTCACATTGTTTTAAAAACGCTGTGTTACAGATAGGAGAGGAGATGTGCCAGAACAGCTTCATAAAGCAGTACCTGGCCAAGCAGCAAGAGCTCCTTTGCCAGAGACTGGAGAGAGAGGCCCAGCAGGGGCAAGACGCTGATGGTAAAAGATTCAGACCACAAACACACACTTGGCCCGTCCTTTGTCTCAGACGACTCGCAAAAACTCCCTGGTGGTCAAATGTCTTTGCTTA